GATCTCTATTCGAATGGTCCTCAAAAAGAGCTCGAGTCTTGCTACAGTCCTTTCAGAAAGCACTTGGCGATGGCGAACGTTCTGCAATTTTGATAAGCACCCTTTTCTTGAGGCTCGTTTTATCAGAAGGAAATGATAACTCATGATTATGAATATTAAACTGATGCTCATGTCCGAACGTGGCTCAATAAAATGGGTGTTGGTTGTCTGCTTGAAATGCTCTTTTTTAGACACATGTTCGTCATCGCGGACGAACCCTGTCCTTGGCTTAGCCGGCTTGACAATTCAGCAACAACAGGAGGTATGCATTATATTTACGAAGCAGCGTTCACAGTTTGCGATCGCTTCATCGAAATCGCCGAGCGCGGTCCGCGCAGTGGTGTATTGACCATGTGTCATCCTTATTTGCTATCTGTTCTTCTTTATCATTATACATGTCACTTCCTTCATTTCTTCACAACTTTACAATCAGTGGTTTCGCCTAAGGTAGTATCACTTCCTCAACTATAGATGAAGCTAGGAAATAACCAAATGAGTTCGTTTTGGCTATAGCTGGAAACTACCACTTGTCTCGTTACCCAATTACGACCAGCAATTTCGACGTCTCTTTCTAAGGAAAGCGTTCAGAATGTATGATAGTGTTTCCTACATACATATAAGCATAAAATGGCATGAGGAAAAGATTATAAAAGACGTATTTGGAATAGAGTGATAAACCGAAATCAGTTGGAACAAAAGGTTGACGAATCGAGAGGTTGATGCGCAAACATTAGTGATGGCAACAAAGTCGAGTGGTGGCAAAATATGAGCGCTGCATTAGTTTGTGGTTACGGCCGCGTGAACAATGATATGAAAAGCGTTGTTTCAGCTTCTTCGTAGTGCACAGGCCAACCCGGCTGCACTGCAAGCTCTCCTAATGCAAGCTGCTAAGAATGGACAGTCGCCAGCGCAAGCACTTGCTGCTCTCTTCGCGAATCACGCTTCCTCGTCATCACAGGTTGCTTCCGTAGCTCAACAATTGAAGGAACAACGCGCAAAGGAAGAGCAACTCCTGAAGGAACAGGCAGCAGCGGCCACACAGGCAAGCACTGCTGCACAACAGGTATGGCACCACTACCAACATTTTCAAAGGATTCTTCAGGCATTGCTTTCCAGGCAAAACTACTAGCTGCCCAAACACCACAACAGCGCGCCGCTACTGCAAGGCAAGCCTTCCGCATGCAAGCCGATAAGCAACTTATGCAGGTTTGTGGTGGAACTCGTCATTCTTTTTACTCTTGTTAGGGTTCTTCTACCCTAAGGTGATCGATTTGTGGAGTATGCGACATTTGTGGTACATTTCGCTAATTCCAGCAAATCACTGCGCCAAAGGCTCCTCCAATTGATTTGTTTTTCATTCCAAATGGCTCGCAACCAGATTTTTGCTACCTCGTCGGCCTAGATCTCGTCGTTCAACGGGTACTCAAAGACAAGAACGTGTACAGGTGAGGTTATGAAATGGTTGTATCGATTGTTCCTGACGGGATGTTTGCATGTCTCTTCGATTGTGATAGTGTGGTACCGATCTTTTTACTCACGAGTATCACAATTTATCAAGTTTGTTTTCCGGACTAGTTTTCAATTGCTTGTTTCGGTACAATTTTTGTCCATTACATTTGAATGTTGACGACTGAATGCAACCTTTAGATCTGTTACCGAAAGACCGTACGAATGCGAGGAGTGCGGTACTGATTTCACTCCTTCTTGGAAGGCAATTGGCACGTCTTCCACGGACATGCATCTTTATTGCGAACAGTGTGTACGCACAGCTCAAAAACGCAAGATTCGAACGGATCATTCTAATGTGTTGAAGAAGGCATATAACAAGATAAACAGTCAAGAAAAGGTCAGCTCTTCATGGAAGTTTTCGTTTTAGACAATCATGTGAGGTTTCGTACCGAGTTATTCATTCAAGTTTTGACCCGACTCTTTTTGATGTAGTTAGAACAATGAAAGGATGCTATGTACTGCTTCACTACGTTTCATGTTCTACGTATATTTCAATGGAATATCCCAGCGTGATATTTACAGGAGTTCGAAAAACAAAATATCAGATGATAACTGGAGCTCAACTCGCTGCGCTGCGCGGCGCATGCAGAGGCCCCGCGCGCGGCATCCGTAAGGTCCCCTCGACTAGTCAAGCTCAGAACTTGAGCACCAAACCTAATCCTTTACAAGGAACCCCTCAACGCAGTGGAACCAGCACTCCAACAGTGCGAAAGGCAGCGACCCCGGTAAATTATTATTCAGTTGCCTTATTTGCTGAACACTTTTCCTTTTGACAATGTCTGTTCTGTGTATATTGCATTCGCTTAAGTTCGCCCTCTACGACGCCACTTCAAAATAATGCCGCTCTGCATCTTCACATCAACCCTCCTTCTCTTAAAGAATCGAGTACCTCAGGGGTGAATTGTAGGCCTAATTCACTTTCTCCGCTAAAGTCTACAATGATTCTGCTAGTCTAAATCTTCTGCCTATGTTTCAAAATTTTCTTCTACCTCTATATATTTTCCTGAATTCATTGACATTAGCGGTGGTGTTCCCACTTTTTCACTCAAAACATATTCAATATCAAAGCTTTTCTTGAAAGAATGTGGCGTAACTTTCCCAAGGTAAAGCTATTCCTTCAATTTCGTCTTCTCAACTTTTTTTGGTGTATTCTATAGACCATCTATTGGCATAATATAAACGACCTGTTTCGTAGAATGGTCAAATATGCTTTAGTTGAGCAGAACTTTTCAAGCTAACATAAACATCAAATCAGCCCTTCCTGGTTTTTCGTTGTAATGTACATGTAAATAAAAACAAGCAATAGAAGGTAATACAAAGATATGCGGATGGCAAGATGAACGCCTTTACTGAAACGAACATATCAAAAAACTGCTGGCGTTCAAAACGGCGAAATTAACTAAAGTTGGCTCTTTCTTTGCCGTAACTCGTATTTGGTCGAAATTCAAAATTCTATTATGCCTTCGAATAACTTGACTGCATCAAAAGTGGTTGAATTCATTTCGTGCCATTCACGTTTTGGTATTTACTACTCAAAACTGAAGTATTTGGGAGAGGCGACCGAGCTCGCAGAATCGCGTCGATCCCACGCAGCAAAAAAGTCAAAATTAGCGTTGCCATCAACGTCTCAATAAGGATCTGATTTCATTGCAACTTTTATTTCGGATTTTCAATAGAAAATTCTAGGCGGCCATGCAACAGCAGATGGCGGCAATGCAGCAACTGGTCCGAGCTAATCCAATGATGGCGATGGCTGCAAGTCAGATGGCCGGTGCCGCTGCTGCAGGCAATCCCATGGCGAGTATGATGCAACAGGTGGGACAAAACGAAGATCACGCCTTCAAAGGAAAATAGTATGAAATTATGATCGCGAACAAAGTCATTTTTTCAGATGTGGAATCCTATGATGTTGCAAGCAGCGGCTACTCAAATGCGCTTGCAACAGCAACAAGCGCAGCAACAGGTATTTCTAACGCACATACTACCATCAGCTATACTTAACAATTTAATTGATATCGATTAGACTGTTCTGTGATTTCATTTGATTTCCTTCAAATTTGGTTGAAAAGCATTTGGTGCGAAAGGATTGCTGCAAGTTAATCAGCAATGTGTTCCCTTTACTTGCTTGGAACCTGCTCCCTGTTTTTGATCCTTCTTTCACTATCCAATATTAGTCTTTTCTTAGAGTGATTGTTGGTTTATTTACTGAGAGAGTTCGTTATTGAAGTTCCCGTGTACGGTTAGAACGATAAGAAACGATGATCTTCGTCAGCGCATGGTTAAAAGAATGTAGTGGCTATGGTGAACCTTTAGAAGAGAATTACATGATGAACTGGAGATCGAAGAACGGAAGTATACCTACTAGGGAGGGTAGCAGACCGACCGAAACGAGGCGCATTACGGCAAGGGGAGGGAATTTCTCCTAGCACTTCAGCATTCCCTACTCGCGGTGCTGCCACTTGATAGGCATTCCAGCGCCGAAGGGTGGCCATGGTCGTGTAGTTCAGCCACGCAGAGCACCGCGAGAGTTACCGCTCAATATAGTTCGTCAGTTTTTTTCAAAGGCCTTTTTTCTTATTCCTACGTTTTTACGCCGCTATGAATGTTCTTCGTTAAAGCGTTATTCTGATTGCCCCAAACACATTGTTGTTCTGTGTGTGTGAATGGTTTAAAAAAGGCGCGCTGGGAGAATTCTGGAATAGCATGGAGCACCAGATCTTCATTACTGATATCCCAACTTTTCAGTATTCATATGTTCTGATCCCAAATAATCAACAGTTAACTTGGTAAAAAGAGTACTGTTCCCTGTAGATCCTGCTTTCCATCTCTTATTTCTTCTCATAATTGAGACTGATACAATGAACTTGAGTGAAACGGTAGAGGGTGTCTTGCAGAGCAAATAGAGCATCATAAATCAGACGCTTATCTAGGTCAGAAATCCCAATTAGCCTTTGCTGACGTCGATGTCATGTTTTGTATTGGTTTTACGATAAAAATTTATTCACTCAAATTTATTGCTTCAGGCGAGTCAGCCTAATATGGCAATGTCAATGCTTGCGCAGGCTGTGCAACATGCGCAATCGTCGGGATTAACTGGTCAGAACAACAGCGCCATTGCTCAACTGGGTAAGTTTTTTTGTGAACTGACGTATTTTTGGTCTGGTTTTTCGTGGGAAACTGTGCATAGTGAAACTATTAATGTGGTCGGTTAGCTCCTGCATTTCATTTACCAATATAAGCACTGTGTTTTCACCACACGATTCACATTGTGAGCATTCTCTTCAATTTGCATTTCAACTTGAGTATTGTAAAAGCCCGATCGGGGAAATACCGAAGACAGCTCGTAAGAAATTTTCATAACAAGTAGTGGTAATGGTCAAAAAAAACCAGGAGAAGGAGATGAACGAATGGAACTTCTTTGTTTCGAATTTGTTGCTTTTAGCTGCTGCAGCCGCTATGAATCCGGCATTGATGAACAACCCACAGTTACTGCGACAAATCCAGCAGATGCAGAGCCGTGGATTGATTGAGTCGCTGCAAAGGAAGAAGTAATGGTAGTGCTGTTACTGCCGTGATTTGTCGGTGTTACCATTGCTGCTACAGCTCCTTTGACAATAATTGCTGTTGTCTTCGTGTCACTGAAGTGTCACGATGGTTTGTCGCAAGGTGCTGTAAAACGAACATTTGTTTCGTTGTTGTTTGTTTTTTGTTTTTCCGTGCTTCTTGATATCACTCGATGTGAGCGTTTCTCCACCAGTTACCTCTTCCCTTTTTAATGTCTATCTTTTTTCTTTCCCATTAATATAGAGCTTGTGGCAAAATAGCTCAAGCGTATGTAGCTGCGTTATTTGCAAAGCCACGCGCGGATTACATTTCGATAAGACGTGTCTTGTTGCTGTAGTTTTATTGGTTAACATTGGTCCATTGTGATCGTTGCAACATTATTATATATTACAGGTAGCGGGTTGTTATCTTTCCTAGTTTACAAATATGTTCAGAAGATGTGGCGTTTTAGGATGTATCATCAGAGGTGCGTGTCTTTTAGGGCGCTGTTGTCGTGTTCGTTATTCTGAGGGTTGATCTACGAGTAGAAAGGTGGTTGTTGCTCCGGTTTTTTATATCTTGAGCAGTGGGGCACGTCGTGGATCATCAAAGGGAAAATGAACTTCAGAGAGCTCGCCTTTGTCACTCATTCTCATCACATTGTCGTTCTCATTATTACCATAGCGCAGCTCGTAAGATGGATCAGTTTTATGTCAGTCCAGTCGAGGTTCACTTGATTATTTGTGTCAATATCTCTTCCTTGCGTTTCCGCGACCCTTCTCTCTTCACCCTTCCTCTTCGTCCTCATTCTTTTTATTTTATTCTCTCCTCTCACATGGGTACTGACAGGATTGTGTACAGATCGGCGTGGATCAAAGTTTATATAATGATGAAATGAGGCAATGTTGTTTGTTGCATTCTACGGTGTCGTTATATTTTCGCTGCCTTCCGTTTTGTCTTGTTTTTTGAACAATCTCAACGTCGCAAACATCACCTTGGTGCTGCAGTTTCAACAGGGTCAGTGCTGTAATGATTGTAACACTACAGGTGAAATCAGATAAGGGCTTCGCCAAGATGACGTTGAGGATGTTGTTGAAGTACACTCAGTTACTGCTAATTATTTCAAATAGCGTATCGAATGAAATACTGTTTTATATTAATCTCATCTTTGGGCTGGGGATGTACTGCTGTGTAATACGAGGCGCCAAGTGCGGCGCTCCGACAATCAGCCGTAACCGGGCATCATTCATTTCTGCCTGGATTTTATGAATTCTCGTCGCGGAAGTTCCTTTCTTTCTCACCAGATCGAACCGATTCCTCTTTTTACGTCCCTTCGGTTTTTCTTCTGAAAGTGACTTTGTCTCGAAGTGTTTAATTCTTGTCTATCGTACTTTTCATCACGTGCATCATGTGTATATTTCATTCACACGATATCCCCGAGTTTGTGATCTTTCGAATGTGAATGGTTTGGATACGCGTTTACAGTCGTGTAGATTTGATAATATAATTTTCTTTTGTAATGAATGGTCTATTTCATAATGTATTTGTCGTTTTTTGACTGCATGGAAGAGAGTGTGGTTCACTAGGACAGAATGCGAATTTTCCGCTTTTCGCACGCGAAACATTTTTCGCTGCGGGAACCTCAGGTCCACCGCTGATCATGAGTGGACCTGGAGTTCCTGCAGCGAAAAAGTTTCGCATGCGAAAAGCGGAAAATTCGCTTTCTTGTCCTAGTGAGCCACACCTTATGGAAGAAGAGTTTACATGAGATGTAAAACGTAAATTGATCCTTCATAATACAAGTAGCGGACGGTTCAATGAGGGGCATTCATCCTATTTGTTAAGTTACTCTTGCACGATCCGCTGTCTGATTGTCGTAGAAATCACAATGGAAGAAAAGAAGTACTTCTTGATAATTGTACGTATCACCCAACTTGTTGGAAAACTGCTGTTGATTTTGTAGTCGAAAGTGAGCTGAGGTTGTGATCGTCCAGCTAGGCATACTCTCTCGGTGAAGTTGGTGACGTAGCGGCTGTATTAAATTATAAAGAAGATGTCTCGAGATAACCGTCCTAATAATGGGATGGAAAGAAAGTCTGACCATAACCGATTTTTCGAAAGCTTCCAGAACTTTCGCTTATTGATTGATACCTAGAATCTGCTACGTGATAGACTATCGCTGTCGATCATACTTCTCCGCAGTAGGTATATATTGCCGGGTTGCCTTCTTTAACTTTAATCATGATGTCGATTCCACAAGAGCACTTTCGAGCGATCATCTTCAATGAATGGCGCTGCGGCACAGGAGCAGTGGAAACCGTCAAGGCTATCAGCAGCGGGCGCATTGGGAAGAAAGACCATTTCCATCATCAGTGCCAAGCTCTGGTTCGTAGGCTT